AGTATATTAAATGTAGCATTCAGCAAAGTCCGAGCCTTTCCACCCATAGAATGATATATGTCTTGTAGAGACTGTATGTGTTGATCCCATTGGAGGATACTAAAAGGTTCAGGAGAAGTTATTAACCTATATTTAGTAGCTAGATGTTCCTTCTCTATTTGTATTTGTTGACATTCAATTTCTAATAATTGTTTTTTTGGTTTGATAGTGAGAACGGGCATTTGCTATATGATTATAGTTTAGATCTGTAAGGTGATCACTAGAAATATTGCATGACCTGCAACTATGAATAGCATTATGTCGTTTAACACCAGCAAGATCATTGCCTTGAGGCAGATCTGCAGTAATGCACCCAAGACCACCAACAACCCATATGTTCCCATATAATGTTTGTATTGAAAATCTATTTTCTAAACGTTGAATATCCTTAAGTATTGGCCAGATAACATTATTAAGATTAGCACCAAATAGGACTAGTCCGATCAGAAAATGGTTTTTAAGTTGTTTTCTTAAAGATAAAGCATATTCCCAAATTGTAAATATATTTCTCCCAACGAGTGATAAATATTTTTATAAGTCCCGAAATTATTAATGTATATATCAAGAAACACCTTATATATAGACATGGATTGTGGTGGTGTTTTAAGTATAACTAATTCACAAGGTATTCTATATCTTGTTGAAATATCATGGTACTTCTAATGATCATCAAAATGGTATATAACTTCTTGAACATAGAAATCATAGTTATCAGGTTCTGGTAAATCCAAAAACCACATATTGACACGTTGAGAAATATTTTTGGGATCAACAAATACAGAATCCCCTTTGACAAGCCATAATTCTTTATTATTTCCTCGGATATGTCAGGAATTAGTATATTGGCAATTAGGAAGATTCTGGTGATGCAACGGTCAGTCAATTTTTAATATACGAGAACTATATATTTCATTGTCTACTATGCCACGTATGCAGCCTATAAATTTAGTAGATAGTTCTTTGTATAAAAAAAAATCACCTACATTATATATTTCTAATTATTA